GTATTTTGGCCTTTACCCTTTTAGTAGCCCCACAAAACAAGTCTGTCCTTGTGTAACAGCTTCTTAATCCTGCAAAGTTCATTGTTGCCTATTGAAAATGAAAACCTCCATGGTTCATAGTGTACTGCTCTTAGTTCCTTACCCTTGCACCTGGGAGGCCAGGTTCACCAGGACGCCCAGGATCTCCCTGACCTCCTTTAGGACCAGAAGAACCTGCTGGGCCACGCTCTCCTTGTGCACCCTAAAAAGATATCAATGGGCTACTAGTTAACAGGTAGAACAGCAACAGTAAAAGATTAAATAAAACAAGTATCTTCTATTAAGGACCTATTTTTGAAGAGTTCCAAATCATTAATATTTTTAGAATTATAACTTTTTTTTTCCCAAATTATTGTTCCTATATAAATTTAACAAATGACCCAATGAAAGATGGACATTTTAATTTCATTTACCTTTGGTCCAGGCAAGCCATCAGAACCTGGAAAACCACGGTTTCCAGGAGCACCCTAGGAAAAGTCACAGATACAATATGATTATCTTAATTTTTACACAACTTATGGCAAATAAAATACCAGATTTATGGTTTTGGAGTTCAGTTCATTTCCTTATAACTTCTTATATCGACACTTTAAACTTTGGGGTTTTTTACCACCCAGAGTGATAAAAATATCAAAGTTCCATTCATGAATGCTTGACAGCTCCTTCTTTGCAAACAGCCTCACTGAAAGCAAAATGATCATTTCTGCAGGGTTAAGCAAAAAATCTGCAGATTAGCTCATCACACCTCCATCATTTCTCCTACCACACTATCCTGTGCATTGAATCCACAAATGAAAATATCCAGTATAAAAAATATTGCAGAGTATTAGCTACTGTTAGGAAAATCAGGTTTGACTACACCCAGAATGAAGCTGTTAGAAAATTCATGGTTAGGGCAAGAGGTTTTTCAGGTTAGCAGTGCATCTCCCAAGACATTATTCCTTTGGATTTCTTACCCTCTCTCCAACAGGACCTGGTGGACCTACTGACCCTGGATCACCTCGAGGACCTCTTTTCCCTTCTTCACCTATGGGGCCAATGGGACCCTGGGGACCTTGTGGGCCCTAGACAAAGTAAAATGTTTTAAAACCAAATCATTGTTAAGCTCACCACTTCTCAGGCATATTGAAACAGACTGTCTTCTAAATATCATAAATATTTTTCCAAATAAAGGAGAAAAAAGTAGGTTTTGAATCAGTTGAAAAATGCAGTTTTTCAGCATTGTCTTTTCTCTTTTACAATGTTTATAAGCTAGAATTTCAGGAAGAAGTGCACTATGAATAAACTGCAATTCTGTAGTTTGGCTGTCCAGTGCTGCTCATAATCACCTGCACACAATAATTTGTATTTTTTGTTATGAATTGGATAAGCTGCAAAGGATTCAAAATTCAGTGAGACTCTAGTAGAAATTCTCCAAGAAGACAGTCAGTGGTAAGGAAACCATTACTTCAACTGTACATTTTTGTCAGTTATTACATGATCATTTAACTAGTGAGAAAGAAAAACTAAAGATTGGTTGACAAGTCAAATTGGCTCCAGCTCTGCAGAAGCACTTTTCTTCCCAAATTCACATGGTTCCAGCATGGATCTAGAGATATTCTCAAATAATCACCCACAAATATTAGCTTTGGGCTAAAGAGTTATTCATACCATAAATCTACAAATATTCTACAGAAACCTCAGTTGATTCACTGATGGGTTTTTCTGTCCTGGAGCCCTGTAAGGCCTGTATGGGGTAGGTGATTTATAACATCAAAGGTCCCGGTTCACCATTCATTGTTAGTGCTGTTTAGCCAGGTTCACTGGGTTTGTCTTCCATAATTGTTACTCTCATGATTATAAAATCATCAGAAGTGTCCTGAAAATTGTACAAATCTATTCAAAATACTTTGTAATTCCTTTTCATCTTGCAAAGCATATGAAGACTTACAGGTTCACCTTTGGGTCCTGCTTCTCCCTTGAACCCTGGGACACCAGGGTCTCCCTGAAAACAAACACATGAATAACACCCATAAGGCTAAAATTCTGCATGAATCATTTGACTGTTTTCTATTATGCTAAGAAACAGAAATCCATTTCCCAGTAACTAGCTGTAGGCAGTAAAATGGGATGCTTATAATGGTTTGCCTTTCCCCTTAGCATTCTTGTGTATTATGATTTTATCAAGACAAAAACTTGAAATGAGACAGTTTCAGGAGACATCTTATGGTTTGTCCAAGTTTAAACAGACACTTTTCTTTCTTAGACCTCTAGGAAAGCAAAAAACAGTATTTTGGGACACAGAAGATTCACAAGATCCCAGTCTCAGCATACTCACTAGCATGCTATGATTTTTTTTAAAGGAACCCCACTGCTAATCCCTGTTTTAGTGACATTGAGTGACACATTTGCAAGGCAAGTACAATCTCTACAGAGACAAAGGCATCGTTACCGGCTGGCCTCGAATACCAGGTGGTCCACTACTGCCCTGTGGTCCTGGGGAACCGGGTGGACCTGATAAGCCAGGGGGGCCTGCAGTGCCTGGAGATCCCTACATATAGAAGGAACAGCAAGCACAGTAAGGAAACATAAGAAAAATAAGGAAATAAAATAAATTCAATTACACAATTTCTTCAGCAGGTCATAGGATTACTTACAGTAGGGCCCTTAGCACCTGGAGAACCATCTGTCCCTTCAGCACCCTAGAGATAATGTACCAATCATTAAAATCCATTTTAATAAGGAGAGTATCAATAACAAAAACAGAAGATAGTTATTTTATCTACTTTACAAGACAAGGGAATAAAGGCTGTTAAATAAATACAACGTATGATATACCTGTGCAACTGCTAAGATGAGTAACAAAGCATGCAAGCTAATATGATTTTTAATCTTTAAGATCTTATATTTAAGCTTAAGCTTTAAAGCACTTCTAGGATTGAGACGGTAGCAAGTGGCATAAGTTTCTTTTAATTAAATAATTAAAAGTTATTTTCAACAAAATAAGCACTAAATAAATGAATGACACCTTTCCTCTCCCGGGAAAAAAAATGTAATTTGAGCAAAACACAGTGTCTACCAAGTGGGGTAGTAAAATTCCCCATAAACAGGCAACATACCCAAGCTGAGCACTTGAGGAACTCATTTTACTGTACTTACAGGAAGACCTTGTGATCCAGCTGGGCCCTGTGGACCTGTTTCACCTCTTTGACCTTGAGGACCTTCAGGACCACGAGGACCTGTTGGACCTGCTTCACCCTAAGATTTCACATGAGAAAACAACTAGAGGTTATTTCACTCTAAAAGGTAGCACTACAAAGTAAACTAAGGAGGAGCGCTGAGTTTATAAGACAAAAAGAATTCCAGTTTTGAAATAGTTTATTACCCTTCAAAGGTATTTTTGCTCTACCTAATCGTGCTCCTACTAACTCTATGTGAATGTAAACTTTAAAAGTACAAACAGAATTTTTCCTCAATGTATACAAGGACAAAGAGAGTTTCTACAGAGAAGCAGCACTATATCCAGTGGTCCAAGTCAGACAAAATGTTTTGGGTAGACATGTCTCTTTAAACTCCTAGTATGTATCTGTAATTTGACAAAGTTTTTTAGTTTTGTTAACAGCAAAGGCTTAAAATTTAGCCTTATCTGGGTTTGTTTGGGGTTTTTTTCACAGTACAAAATTAACTCACTGTTGCAGCACTATATTAGATATAAAATCCCTGTAAGATTGGATTGGATATTACAATAAAAAAATTCCTCCTGGTCTCTCCTTTAAATTTTATCTTTATGTAGAAAATTTGTCTCTTGGAACTGCTGGCTGTTAATATCATGTCTTCATAGCTGAAGTCCACATCTTCATTGTATAGTCTGCTTAGGTTTTATGAGGTCAAGGCAGCTATTTCAAGTTTAAATCATCTGATGTCAAACTTGAAGGAAGCTCCTCCTTTTTAAAAGCTTTTATTGATGTGACAGCTTCTCCAAACATTTATTTAGGTATTAAGTAGTGCTTAGCCATACCAAAACATTCATGACATGCACTAAAAGGTTTACCATTTAATTGTATACATTATGTTCATACCCTTATTAAGGTTTGTTTCCAAATAAACTGTTTTATGAATGTTGCCAGCTCCACAACAACACAAAACATCTGCTGAACTTGGCTACCAGACTAATTGAGAGTTTCTTCTTGTATAATTTTTTCCAACCATATTTTAGGATTGTAAAGGAACAAAGAGAAGCAGCTGGGTGGAGGGCAAGTATAAGAAGTATAAGGAAGCTTCATGAGTTCTCTTTTCTATGTTTGCAGACATATTCTCAAGGTTAGGAGAAAAATAATTGATCACTTTCTTGAAAAACAAGAGACATGAGTCCCACAAAGACAGTGCTGCAGTGAATGAAGCTTTTACATACCAGCCCAATCACACAAAGCCACAAAAGGTGGTAAACATCATTTGCTGTATTGTGATGAACTGTGATACAACTCTGCTGGGGTTCAGGCATTTTTCCTTACCAGTCCAGATCATCTCAAAGAGTGTTATTGGATTAAATGAGAAGTTTCAGCAGTAGAAGGTACTGTTTCCATTCAGCCTTAGACTAGTCCTCACAACTTAACTTGTGACAATGCATCTTATTTTTCTTTGGATATACTGGACAAGACTCCTGAAGCACAGTGTGACAATCACCTTATAATGACCCATTAGCTCAAGAAAAAGTGAAAGCAAAGTATCTGGAGCTGTGGTGAATTGCAGTTGCTTCATTTGACTTCTGATTTCTACCTGCTGTCTTAAGGTCTTGACTAAGACTGATTTCACAGCAACTCTTAGGGACTTGTCTACATGTCAGTCTGAACACTATGTAGTCTAGTAAACATTTTTTAGTTCTGTGTCTTTAGACATATTAAAAAGATATTTTTATTTTGCTTTTTACCTTTACACCAGGAGCACCTGGGAAACCTGGAGAACCAGTTATGCCCAGCGGACCCTATAAAAGACAGATAAAGCTATAATTCTGCAGATCACATAGATGAGTATGTAATCACTGGGTAAATATGGTTCTGCTATTACATGTATTTTTAAGTCATATAACTTCTGCTAAAAACAACACCAAAACAATTATAAGTTTCATTTTTCTAAGTGATACAGGTACATTTTATGGAATTGTGATGCAGTGTTTGTTTTAATAATGTATTTACTGACTTCAGAAAAGTTAGAGCTCTTGATTCAACTATTAATGCACAAATTGCCATGTGCAGAGTTGACAATTATTATAGCAAAAGTTTTTCAATTTCAGTTTTTAACAAAATATTATATCCTCTTTTTATATCTATGCTTCTGTGATACGGTAACAAAAAGATCAGATATTTGTTAAGCAACTACAGTTTGTCCTACAGAATGTAGCAAAGGAGAGTTTCAATTCTTTTAAACTTAAAATAGTAATCTAGAAAAAAAGAGAAATACAAGCCACACTTACATTGAAACAATTGGGTTGCTAGGCAAGACTTTTGAGGTATTTGTCTTGATTACAATTAAAGGCTGTGCAACTATATGCCCTGCTTCCTACTCTTCTACCCCATTAAGATTTCCAATCACGGCCAAATTCATTTTCACACTTTAAAACACAGATTTTGTATCAATTTTTCAAGGCTGCACAGGCAAAGACATACAGCAGAGACAGTTTACTGCTTGGATCTTTGTTCAGAGATAGGCAGGAATTTCTGGGAAAGGAAGTAGAGGAAAGGCTGGGTTATGGCACAGCACAAAACACAGCTTGTCTAGACCATAGCAATGGTGCATCTACATTATTTCTGGCTCTAGAGCCAAATTCTTGGTGCATGGCACTGCAGCGTGTAGGCACACCTCATGTGACTGCAAAGACACAAAGTTGGAGAAGGAACAGAAACAGCTGGGGCTGCATTACATGGCAGACTGTCCAAACTCACTAGAAAGCAAACTTCGGGCGTATACACTTGAATATGCCTGTATGGTATGACAAACCTGGTTTTGCTAAACGGAAAGGCTTCCAATTAAGGGGTTTAGAGTAAATTTATAAATTGTTTCCATTTCCATGATGTGTCTTATGATGAAGAAGACATTCAACAGAAGACCTTTCTATTGCACTCTAAACCCTCTGGATGGCGGCACACAGTGGTTATAAATATTCACTACAACGCTGGTCCCAGATGATTCCTCTTTATCTTTTCCTGATTTTCACTCTTTTTGTAAAATATGATGCATACTGTGAAAAAATGTTCTATGTAATAAAGCTCTGATGACAAACTTAATAAGAAAAATCTGTCCCACTCATCATTAATTAAAGACTTTTCTGCCATGACCTTGTGCTGGATTTCTACAGAACTAATGTAACAGCTCACCAAGTATATTTTTGAAAACTTGTGTTCCAGTTTATTGGATCACAAATACATGCCTGCCAGATCTCTGTCTTGTTGCAGAATTACAGTATATACTGCACTGACCCAAATAACAATGGATTTCATTAACATAGTATGTTCCCCCAATGAGAAACATATGCATTAAGTAGCAGTATCTCCCTTGTGACACTACATGGGATTTACCCAATATGTTACACAACCAGTTATCACCCTGTGTGGCTCAGCTCATATATTATGCCAAATAAAACTTTCAAGCTCCATGTAGAATTTCATAGCTCAGAACCCACCTTTTTTAAACTGTAGAATTTGTTTTCAATACAGAAAAATATTTTGTTTTGTGGTTTCTGCTAACAAGTTACCCTTCTTTCACTATACACAACATAACTGGGGTTTGCAGCTTTTAGACATTACACTCATTTTTTGAGCTTCTGTTGTAGTTCTCACTATTACAGGGCTCACTTCATAAAAGCAGCAAAGCATCACCCCTCCAGGGAAGATGCTATAGCCTACTCCTCTGCCAATTAAAATCTTTAGGTGAAGCAATCTACAGAGTATAATTACTTAGAGGACAGCATTAAAGCTATGACAAGTAGAACTAGGAATTAATTACAAATAATTCCAGGTGCACTTACTGTTACCAGTAACTGCCAACATTTTTTTGTGCTTCTTTTGTCAAAAGGCAAGTGGCAAATACAAGGTCAAAAATATAGATGATTAAGGAATTAGCCTACCATTGGTCCTGGCTTCCCAGGCATACCATGCTGGCCACGTCCACCCTAGATATAAAAACAGATAAGATAGAATATTTGTAAGAACTCTAATTATTTTTTTTATTATTATTATTCATTGTTAACATTTGTGATAACAGCCATACACACTAAAGTGATCATAGAAATGCTGGATTGTAGAGCCCTCCAAACATTGGTATGGAAAATTTCTGGAAGAAATTACGCTCCTTCTCGAGTAAATTGATTTCTCTATTTTCAGAGAAGCCAATATTTTGACAGTGTAATTGTATAGAGCACATAACACAAATGGAGCACATAAAAGTCACAGAGAGAAATGCCAGAAAAAGCAACACTTGATACTGGACATAAAGCAACAGAGAGAAATTTCTGCTCCAGTATGATCTCATGTCAAGACTAAGTCCTCTTTTTGCTGAAAAGCAAAATAATTTTTAAGAAGACAGCTTTATTACACGGAATTACATTATAAGACTCAAATTAAAAGTATAAATTTCCATTTTAAACATTTTTCCAGGAAATATCAATACATATTACATCTAGTTCAGTAATTTTGAGTGAAAACAGCATCTCAATGAAAATTTCACACAAAGAAGAAATTTTTTGCATCACAAAAAAAGTGTTGGGAGGCTATTTGGCCTCATGGGCAGCTCTGGTATGAGGAGTAACCATACAGCTACCATTCTCCCTTTAAAACTGGGTTTGACTTTTGTAGTCTACAGTAAAGGTCTCACCCCACAAAACTCTGCTCAGGCCCTAACTTTCTTAAGCTAGAGCAGAACTCACCACAGAACTGACCAGCAGTCACATGAATAAACTCTTTCAGACACAGGGATTTAAATTTATGTAAAACAGGGGAAGAATTAACAAGGAGAGAGAAGGAAGATCCTACTTACAGGGGCACCCTGTGGTCCAATTCGACCTCTTTCTCCTGGCATTCCTCTAGGTCCCTTGAAGACAGAATAAAATATGCATTATTTAGGAGCTCATCAAGGCCTCAGAACAAAAAGGGTTAGATAGTTCATTGGACTTTTCCCCCCATAGTAGAGAGATTACATGCCACCTTCTTTTATTTTCCCCCTTTTTTTCTTCTTTTTCTTCACTTATTACTTAAAAAAAAAAATTCCTTAACTTTTCTTTCCCTCAAATAAGTTTTGCACTGTGTTGCTCTTCAACAATTTTCTGATCAGTCATGTTTATTTGCTTTTAACAAGAAGATGATGAGGTTCTTTAAGACTACAAGCATGGTAAGGACATATGAACAACAGTTAAAACCCCAAGTTATCTATTTACTTCCTGCAGGTGTAGCTTTATTGTCCTATAGCAGGAAAGAAGTAGCAGCTAACATAAATCCTTGCAGCCTCACAGACCTTCCCAGTCGAAATTTAATAGACTGTAATTTCTCTTTTCATGATCCAACAGTATTTCTATTGGATTATTCTATTTAAATTATTCTATTTAACAGTATTAAACACATTAGATTAAATTCTGTATATACTCACCAAGATCAATAATGCAACCTGATTTACTATGGCTCATTCACAAACTAGGTTCCACCCCAGGAATATTACATTCTGCATGACACAAGATAGTGCTTTGCAGAGAGATGTCATTACCTGATATTAGAAAGGTGCTTTACTTCTAGAAGCATTGCTGAGAGTTGATTTTTGGCATGTTACACCACTGCTCACAAGCATACAGTTGTCCAAAACTACATCTCAATGAAAACTACTTCGAGAAAAAGTTTATCAGTGTCATTTCCATGTTGTGCATGCTTATCCTCACCATAAGCTCCAAAATCCTCTGGTCCATGGTTTTATTGGCTAGTGCATTTCTGACCTAAATTATTCCATTTCTATCTCAGTCTAATCCAGTTCAATCACATTGAAATCACTCCATATGAAGTGTCAACATGTAAAAGAAAAATTTATCACTTGAGTAGGTAAACAATCACAAAACCTACATTCAAGTTTCTGTTGAGCCTTCTGATTGATTGCTATTATTGATATCTCTAAATTGCAAATAACAGCTTATAGAGGAGCAAATTCACTGCTACTGTAATAGAAAAGAAATTTAAAAAAAAAAAGCCCTGATTAAGACAACGTTCAGCTATATGACACCAAGTACCCATCTCAAAATCTTAACATTCCTATTGGCAACAGCTTTTACAGTCTTAAGGCCACTTCTGAAATAGCCAAAGCACACGACACTCACTAGAGGACCTGTTGCACCCATGGCACCTGTTGGTCCAGATTCTCCCTGAAAAATGGAAATGAAAGGACATCATTAGAGGAAACGGGTTAGAAGAAAATTGTTGTGTGTTTGATCCCTGTCCTCCACACTTCTATGCTAGACCCAAAAGGCAGATTTGCAGAGTCACCTGAGTGCATCCAAGGGCACTGCTCCCCACGCTGATGGGAAATGCCACATCTACATACTCTCAGTGAAGCAGACTTAACTTCTGCCTGTTCTAACAGCCCACACTGCCTACTGCACTGTTTCTACCAAGTCCTCTGCTGCTGTTGCCTCCAAAGAAATTGGTAGGCAATCTCAGGAAAGAAATCTTTTCTTACACAAACTCTTCTTGACTACCGATTTCACATTTAAATTTAGATTTTGGAAGATTCACTTCATTTGCTATGATTTTAATCAAAAGGAATAGTTCTGTCCCACCTGTGGTTACCACCTGCTACCACTGCTTTGAGATGAAGTTGTTAAGGCTACTACAGTGCCAGTGAGACAAAAAAAAAGAGAATAAAATTATGTGAAAAATAGTCAGTTTGATAAAATATATTCTCTCTACTCTCCAGTGTCTGCCTCTTTTAAGCCAATCTCTAGTATAGTAATCCATCTACAAAAAAGTAGAGAGTCAGGTTTTAGTTATACATTGTTTTACTTTAGTATAGAAAAATATCTATACCATCTCTCAGCTTGGTCACGTAAAGCCAACAAGAACCACAAACCAGCCAAGTGGAAAACTGCAAGATGTGCACGGGCTCTTTGTTAACAGACTTTGTTGTCTTCAGCATTACACAGCTGTCACAGACAGGATAGCTTACAGGCCTAAATCTGAGCCCTAGCTGAAACTGTGACTGTTGAACTCGCTTCCTGTATAAAGCCCAGACATGTCATTGTACGGCAGTTTTGATGGATCAAACACAGGGTGAAAATGGACAATTCCATGCACTTTTTCCACTCCGTGCAGGTAGCACTGGCAGGAGAGGGTAAAAAGCAGCATTTGAAAGATCTACTAGGTTTCATTACTTTGGCATTATAGAAGACATGCCTAAGCACTTAGTTCATTGGGCCATGAAAATACCTTTGCTCCAGCTGCTCCAATTTCACCTTTTGGACCATCAAGTCCTTTCAATCCCTGTAAGAGTTATAAAAATATGGAGAAATTATATTTATATATGTACACACACACAGAGCAATTCTACTATTATTGTTAAAATAACTCAATACTAAAGTGTTAAGAATGGATCTGAGGTGGCGAGAGCAAGAAAGAAGAAAAAAAAAAAACAAAAAAAAAAAAACAGATGGAATAAAGTTTTCTAAACATTTCCTAAATGGAAACCATTTGTACAAGGTACATTTCCTTGGATTTGGTTTCCTTTTTAAAACAAGAATGTTTAAAAAAAAAATCCTAAAACAACAAGGAGGAGGCTCTGAGCCATAGGAAACGTATTTATTCCTCCCCAAAGTAAAATTCTGGCCAGAAAACCTGGTAATTTGTAATGACTCCATGTTGCAAACACATCCACCTCTCAAGTTCCCCACCCTAATGCAAGACTTGCCAAAAAAGTGAAAGAACTGTCAGGTTTGTGCCTCCTGAAGCTTGGCAGGGCTCATGCAAGCTCCTTCCAGATTCCCAGATCATTTGAAAATAGAATGAAGAAAGCACTAAAGAACATAATACAGAGGTCAACTTAAAGGGGAATAGCACAGATTTTCTGCAAGGCTCTCTTTCTTTCAAATGCCAGAGATTCTGCTGCAACTGGCAGGACTAGAAGTGTAGTTGAATTCACCAATACAAAAGAAGTTCAGTATCTTCATACTTAAACTGCCTGGAAACAGAGAGGGAAAAACCTGTTTCTTACCCTGTGACCTTTGAGACCTGGGAGACCAGGAGCACCAGGAAAGCCTCGAGGCCCCTAAGTAGGAAAAAGAAAAAGCACATCAAATCCTTATTTCTGCAGATAAAACTAGAGATAATGCTGTTAACAGGGAAGAGGGTAGCAGCATTAACACTCCTTCACCTTGGCAACATAGTCTAGTAAGGGATAGCATTTGAGCAGGTTGTAGATGATACAGCACAACATACTATGAAGTTAGTCTCAGCACTATTTACATTTTCACTGATATTAAAAGCTTTATTGTTTACATCAGTATATGATAAAACCTCAAACAGAAGTAATGATGAGTGGTAGATCAAGCTTTGAAACTTAATATGAAGAAATCTTCATTAAACAGAGATCAAAACTCAGAGTTGTAATTTAAAGTCAGATAGAAACTTGAGATCAAACTGCAAACTGTACAGGTTGTTTCAGAATGTGTCAGGCGAGTGCCACAATAAAAGATTGCTATTAAACATTTAACAATTAAATCAAAGTTGCCTTGCACTTAGTTTCCTACCAGCTTTCCCAATTTCTCTTTCAGGAAAGACTAAGTAATGAAAAGGAACTAGGTGCCTTGTGTTAGAATATTTGCCACATAAATTTATAATGGAAATCACATTAACACCTTCATACTCTCAGATAACAACAATTCAGTAAAATGTTTAAACATATAATTTCTTCCTTTATAGTACCTCTGAACCAAAGTTCTCAAAAATATTATAGTTCATACCTTTCAGCATATGAAAAAATCACAAAGCTGTTTTATAGAAAATGAAACAACACTGATGTTCAGAGGAGCAAAAAAGTACATCTGAGATATCAACATTAGAGACCTTCTTAGAGACCTTCACATACAGACAAACTGTTTCGTTGTGAGCATCCAGGAATGTAGGAAAGGTCTTTTGTCTTCCCATAGTCAATTATACAGATATTGTTTGATCATAAAGTTCAGTGAGAAAATAATCCAGAGTTTGCAGATCCCCAAAGGGAAAAATTATGTTATAAAGGTATGAAATTTCTGAAATTTATATAGATTGCTTGAAATTACTTATACTCAGTGAGTTCACAGTGAAGGACAATCCCTGTTGCCATACAAGGTCTTGCCTGTAAATTTGAAATGGTACAATTTCTGCTTGTTTAGGTTGAATGTAGCCCATAAAAAGGATTTATTTGACCTGTGCTCAGTTGTATATCTCTATCAGCTTATACAACCAGGGCAATGAAATGACAAAACACACACATGTGACAAGTCACACAGAAAGAAAGCAAATGATGTAAAATGGGGAACAGCCGTCAGGCATCTCCACAGCACCCTGTGGGCCTTGTCATTCACCAAGACTTGGCACATTTCTCTGATAAACTATCACGGTGTTCAGTGACAGTCTCTACAGTGCTATGCAGCCGCTGCAGACTCTCATGAGATGTGTGTGTGTGCAGTTGTAGTGTTTCTTTCCTTAGAAAATCTTCAACAAAACAGCTTGATCTGAACAAAACAATACTCCACATGCTACATTTGCCTCAAGCAGTTTACAAAACATTGTCTTTGATCCATGAACCTTAGGAGGAAAGCTTAGGAAACAACATTGCCTTTCTAAAAAATACTTTTTCTCTCCAAGAGATTGTATCTCCAGTTGCTAATGAAATTGCCAGGCAAGAACTGGATACTTGAAAAGAAGGCAGCTTAAGAGATGAAAGTTATCAAGTGGCTTCAGTTCCAAGATTTATCTGTCCCCTTTTCAGGCACACTGCAGCTCCCTTCCAGGTACAGAAATTTGACTAATGAAGGTAGAACTCTTAATATGGCCAAAATTACTAGGCTGTTTTATTTCTAGAGTGAACCATGAAAAGTATGCTCTGCAGTACAAGTACATACTGTTTGGAAATCCTTTAATCACATTTGTACATAGAAAACATATAAAAATAAATTATCTACATCTATAATATAATCCTCTCTTCCCCTGCCCTCAGACCAGTAAAGGAAAACAGTGTCATGTCAACCTGACATCATAATGTAGTCTCTGAGCACTTCCTGAGCATGACTGTGAATGACCATGTGAAATACTGGGAAATGGAGCACAACTCATACATACTGTTATCAGTTTCACACATATTTCACCTGTGAAGCAGTTGAAATGTGCACTTACTGGAGATCCTGGAAATCCAGGCTCACCGGTTTGTCCTGGTCTACCAGGTTCACCCTGAGGAAAAAATAAAGAAGGAACACATGAATATTGCAAAAGTGAAAATTAACTTCTCTTACTATTCTTCCATCAAAACAAAGGAAGACATGCACATCAGTATTATATATCTCCTCTTTACTATAATGACTTCAGTGATACAGACCAACTGCACACATGAGTTACAACAGGCACATCTGCTGGTTAGTCACTGTCTCAAAGATGCCAATATTTGTTTTATTAAAAATAAAATAAGATACAAAGAATAATAAACTTACATCTTCACCAGGTTTGCCTGGAGGTCCCTCTGGTCCACGAGAACCAACTGGACCCTAAGAAATAAATATATTTATTGAGAAGTCAATTTAGTCATCACTAAAATATCTATTTGAATCATTTCAAAGCCTGTTTTTATAAAAATACAAAAAAAGGATTTTTTACAAAAATATAAAAAAAGGATGATTTTATGCCTAAACACACTTGCTTTATTTTGTAGTGGTCTTTCTAATCCATCTTGCCCCTAAGAAACTTGCATTATATTACATAAAAGTATACAATGGATTCTTTAGGAGAAAAATAAAATCCATTAAAATCACAGTTGCTGCTGTTCCAATTCTCTGGCTCTTGCTTTGGTTTTTGGAACATTTTATCACCTTCAAAAAAAAAATATTTTCATCATCTTTTCTGTAAGTTTTACTACCAGATGTGGCTCTACTGGTGCTTAACCATCCTTCAATGTGCACTGGAAAAGTAACAATGATTGTTTATACTGTAATAATTATTCTGCATGTTCAAACCAATTCACATTCACTAATTCAGGACAGCACAACTGTTGAATGAAGTTACTGAATAACCTCAGCTGAGACAACATAGGAAAAAAAAAAAAAATCTGTTCTGAAATAGGGAGGTCTAAGACATTGTTTGCAAGTGAATTGTAGAAATGTTCTTATTTATTGGTCTTACCATAGGTCCTGGATCCCCAGGTTCACCAGGTGGGCCTGTGGGGCCAGCACCACCCTAAAATTAAACCAAGATTAACAGAGTTACAAATTTTAAAAAGTAAAAATAGAATTAAATAAAATAAAATCCACGATCAGGAAAATCACAGCCCATAAGACAATCTAGATCCTCATTCAGAATCAGCTCACATTGCAAAATGAGTGAAAGTTGGATACTAAATCTCTCAAGTCTTAGCTAAGTCCTGTGCCATACAGAAATCCCACTTAACACTGTGCCAGCACTGAAACCAGAACAGTCACTATTTCCATTGCTGTTCTTTCATTTAAAAAATGTGTATTGGGCTGAAACCTTGTTAAAAGTCTAACAAAATGTTCTTTTTGAGTTAATTTCTGTGTAAAAAGTACATATGGAGCAGAGCTCTTGAGAGCAGCACGTCTAGGTTTGCCTTTAGAAGAATATGGATTCATCCACGCCTCACTGAAGATGGACATTGCCTCAGAGGTGCACACCCCCCCCAGGTACTATCTGCTTTGCCTTCACCTATGGCAAATTATCTTAAATCTCATGAGGTGCAGTACTTACTTGTTTTCCTTGGAGACCTTGAGGACCTCTTGGACCTACTGGACCCTATCAAAAATATAACTTGTTATACACTGGAAAACACTCTTAGCAAGTAACATTGAACCTACAAAGACAGCAAAATGGCCTGATAGTGACCAGTGACCTCCAAAACATTTCTATGGTCAAAAGGTTTGTCTCAGGAGATTGATGTTACGAAATACAAAAGTGCATAGAATTAAAATCTTCAAACTTGAAAAGTCACAGTGGTATAAATTCATTAGTAGCTGAAAATAGGGGCTTCCCTGCTTTCTGGAACCTCACAGTCTCTGGAATCAGTCAGAATAATGGGATTGCCTGAATAGCTCCACTGAAAAAAAAATGTAATGATAGAACAGTGTTAAGGGCAGCAATCTTCCCTTGAAGGGAATTTCATACCAAGATTAATCTCAAAATGGAATCAATGACAAAATAAATTCATGCTGCTGTTCTCAGCTACAAACAGCACCAAGTGGCAATGAAAGGACTCATTTTCATGAATCATACAAACCACCAAAATAGCTTCCAAACATGTCATGGTTTGAAAAATTTAAATTTTCCCTTTAAAAAGTTTCCTGGGATTTTAGGAAAAATCTTGTGCTTAATTGTAACTTATACCATGAAGTAAACATAATAATATGATAATCTTGTCTGAAAGTAATTCTCTTGCTTATAGCAATATAGAAATATCTATAGCAAACAATAACTTGCATTTTGACAGAGGCTCAAGATCTTTGTGTTTTACACACAATTCATTGACTTTCACTAATTTTTACAAAGCACATGTAGAAGAATTGGTAATAAGTAATTTAATAATTCTAATCAACATTTAAAAAAACCCAACCACAAACAAACTAACCAAAAAAAATACCAGTTTAACTGAGTGACCATTCATTACTCTGTTTACAAGGAAAAAAGGCTATCATAGAACATGATGAATCAATGCAAAGAAAGCGAGTGCCCAATTGACTTCAACAGACTGTGCAAAGCCTTAGAGAGACCTAGATATTGAAAAATACATTAGAAGAGATATTAATGTTAAAATAAATTATATTTGAGAGTGACTAAAAAAGAGGCAGCACAAGAGATGCAATGTCTGAAGACAAATTGAGTGAAAGGATTACACAAAAGGATGGAGGGCAAGAAGGTAAGTGGGACAGATATTTGGAACAAATCATTGTATGTATGCACAGCAAATTCACTGAAGAGAGATATTCTATGACTCATAAAAAAAGGAAATCTTTCTGAAGAAATCTCTGCAACTAAGCCAAAACATCAGGTTATCTTTAGAACCTTTCAAATTGTATTAAAACTATCTGCGAGTTACTAGTGGGGACTTGGAGGTTAAGATGCAGGTAGGCAAACTCATGCCAGTACAAATCACTAAAGGATGGTTTCCTTAAGAATGAATGTTAAAAATAACAGCAAAGAGTGTAACAGTATCTTCAAGGTATCACAACGTGATAAATACATGTAGTGAAAAGAGATAATATTAAAAAAAAAGTTCATGAGTTCTAGCAGAGACAGCTTAGGGTGCTGAAACAGCTTTCACAGATGGTAAACAATTTCACTGTTACCATTAAATCCCCAATGCACTAAAAGTGAAGGGTGTCACCTAAGCAGTGAGAGTTGTCATGATAAAATTTGGCCCACCGAAGAAACAGAATGTCTGTTTTAAAATGATGAAGCATAGCTTTCAGTTAACAGCTGGTTTCAGAAAAATATATTTTTTTTAAATTATGACCAAAAATAACTATTTTTGATGTCACAATGTGAAAAGAAGCCTTCAAAAAAATAAACATATTTGTTTAATTCTGCTCTGCAGTGACTCAGTAGAAAATCAGAAGCTTTTTTTTTTCTCCTGTACCTTACTGTTAGTAGCTGCTATATTTCACAAGGAGGGAATCAAGACAACAAGAAAGCTAGAAGTGCAGAAAAAAAAAACCCTTTCACTTAACAGATGTTTTCACTTTTTTCCAGGTACTGTGCAAAACTGCACTAGAACATGCTGTACATCTACATTCTAGATGCATAGGAAGTTGAAGAGAATGAATTCCCCTTTGAGTTTTTGCATCTGCACCCCACTTCCACCCTGTTCTACAGCACAGGGCTACTCTGGTCTTACCACTGCACCAGGCATCAGTCCCATCTGACTGCCAAGTCCAGATTTCTCATCCAGTCCTGCCATCTGAGCTGCAAATGGCTGAAAAAAAAAGAAGGGTGATTTTAGCTGTCAGTCATTTTGATGGTTCATAAAACAAAAATCCATGCAACTGAATCTTCATTGTTTACACTGACTTTGCACCACGAAGAACTAAATTCTTGTTTTAATCATTAAAAGAGAACTTGTCTTTCCTTTAAGCAGCCCTATGAAGGATGGTCTTCTAACACCTGTCCTGGTGCTTCTGTGATTCTAAGGGATTCCTCTGTGCTGAAGATATTTACTTGGGCTGATGCTGCTTGATTCAGGACTACTTGGAAAGGTGGTTAAGCCAAGAAATGCTGACAAACTTGCACACTGTTGGCCTAACATTAATATTTCAGCTTATTGTCAGTATAACTCTATTGTTTTCAGTAATATAGCAGGAACTATGGCGTGAGAGATCAAAACAAGTATCTTCCAAACAGTAATGAATGTGTATCTGAATATAGTTGTGAAATTCAATTATGTATTTCAACATCAGTCATAACTAGTGTTCCACAGGAACAGGGAAGAGGAGAGAAGCAAAGTCTTGCAGAACACCTTGTCTGTACCTACGGGTGGTCAGCACTGCTTTTCACAAACAATGCCTTACTTAACCTTCTCAGTGTTGGTCTGAACTATTCCAGCAAGAAGTATTCTCTACCACTTTTTAATCTTTCTCATTATTTACTCTGTTATTATAACTCATCTTACTTTTTCTTTCCTGTATTCCTAATTTGGTACACTGGTTTCCCTGTATTATTGCCCAGATCTCTTGGGTTTAAGTCAGGTAGGAGTAACAGAACCCTGCTGAGGATTTTACATATGGGCACATTGGCTTTTCTAGATGCTAAAATCCATTGTGGAAGTTGGGTCTTTTCCAAGTTTTCTCATGTTCAATTTGCCCTAATTTTTGGCAGAACTTGCATTGCCACTAGCTGCTGTCCCTCATGACTGGGAGACAGAAACTATGGGCCCAGCATTCCACGTTCACTGAAGCAATGAGAAGTTACTTGTTGTATCATGTGGATCTGGCCCAACACTCACTTGACTTTCTACTAAAGGAAGTGTAAAACTTACCCTGCTTAGTCCATCAGGTCCTGGGTGGGTAGGATGCCCTGGAGGACCAGGGTCACCAGGCTGGCCAGGGATACCAGGTTCACCATCAATCCCTTGAGGACCACGAGGACCCTAGAAAGAAAATCAGAAATACCAATATTGTGCAAAGGTATTCATTAAAATCATTGCAACTTGCAAACAACTTCTTTATTTGTGATAAATCTGTATTTTTAGAGAAAAATCTCCACACAAACAACATCTCTTGAGACCTGTTCCTGCCTTCAGATCAGAAGCACTGGCTTAAATTAGTCATAAATCCAATAAACCGTAGTGATTTCTCTCCAAGGCTCTCTTAGAAACTCAGGCATCCTTTCACTCCATACTAGAGTATTCCTGAAAAACACGTTAGCTTTGCACACAATGCAGAACATCATGAACTTACTTCTAAAATACATTTAGCTCAGATTAGTGTACAAACATACACATGCTTAGGAAACTCCAGTGTAAGGCTGGATTTTTACAGCCTCCTGACATCATGAATGATTTAGACAGCTCATACTGTTGCCGAATTCTCAACAGTTGTTACACTGCCAAAAAAGCAGAGGAACTCCCTTGCTGTCAATGTTATCTCTTAGCTAACATTGGCAGAACAGTCTAGGAAGCCATCCCATTGCTCCCACTTTGAGCACCCACTTTTTATTCCTAAATTCCATTCATTTTATCTTGTGTCAGAACTAAAATCAAATAGAGAAGCAGCTAATAAAAAATTAGCAGAACAAAATCAATAGCAACAGGGCCAATAAAGATATACTTCAATCATAAATACAGACTTAAAGTGCTTGTCACAAATGCTTGAGTATGGTGAGGAAAAAATTTATACTGCATAATGAGGTCTTATGTCTTCAGGATCCTTAAACATAAAACTTTGGAAGCCTGGCTCAGTGAGTCATCATGACAAACACAATTATAATCAGATGGATTACTTTATTTCCATGAGATGAGGACTGTGCTTCCCTGCTATCTGCAACATATTCCAGTGGAATTTCTGTCTGAACTAGCATGGTTTGAACTAGTATGATTCACATGTAAAAGAAAACACATTTCCTTGGGAAAGGGCCACACTGGGACAGCATTGACAATAGGATTCCTGGAATCTCCCAGGGAATCACCTGATTCTCTTACTTCTCATCTTTATGGTCTGAAAGCCCTACAAGCCTAGCAAACAGGGGAAACTCTTTTTCTTATCAGAAATACATGTACACACACAACCCTTCTCACAGAGTGAGTTGTGAATAGGTCATACTCTGAAACAAATGAGAACATTTGTGCACGTTGGGTGGAAGCAGAGGGTTCTAGCAGAAAACTTTATAATTTAATATTTCTATTATAAACAGAAGTACACACTGCCAAACTTAAAAATGCATACCATCTAAAGGAGGAAAAAAATAAAAATGAGTTCTCTTCTTTCATTTGTTCTCAAAATAAAAAGAAAGCAAAGCTAAGCATCAAAGGAAAAAAAAGTTTCCTGAAAAGAATTAAGCAAGCTTCTATACACTGACTACTGACTTGCAATATCCAAACCAAAACACATTAACAAAATCTGATCTAGAAAAAGGTCTTTTTTTTCGTATATTTTTAGGAAAGGATCTACTTTTTAGCCACCCAAAATCAACCTGCTTCAAGAGCAACACTACACCTCAGAAAACAAAAAGTCCCGAAAAAGCAGGTTCAAGTTTGTAGGTGGCAACCAGTAGTAAATAAACAATATTTTTTGGGGGGGGGTAAAATAAAATCTTGATTATAATTTTATTTATTTGATATTATTTATCTATTTATAGATTTTTTTTAAAGCCCTTCCATTTTCTTTGACCAGCTGAAGGTCAGTGAAGTTTAAAAAAAAAAAGGGACAAATTCTCCCAGAGGCCACGAGGTGTCACCATTTAAACAGGCAATTTACTGATCCTGCCCATTGCTCCTGCTCTTACTGCAGGTTTTGCCTGGAATAAAGGAAATGCAGATCATGGTAGAACACTCTTAAACTACTATCTATTTTAACTGCTACTTTGGTTACAATCGAGTGTAAATCCATATTGAGGCAAAACTTATCAATGGTTCTGAGGATGCTCAAACATGCCCAATACTTTCTGTCTTCAAAAGATCATTTGTAAATGTCTAAAATTTTATCATGCTTCAAAATTCCTCCTTCTCTAGATGCATTTTGAAAATCAAACGTGCTGTTCCCTACCTGTTTCTCTCTCATTGTTACACTAACAAAGAAATTGAGGTAAAAAATATGCTAGGACTCCTGAATTCATTTTACATCCAAGGGTCCTGCTTTTATAAAAAGCAGAGGTCCATAGCAAGGTTGAGCTCCTTCTGCTCACTACTCAGTAGGAGCCCATTTAAAGAACAAAAAGAATCAGCCAAAGAAACAAACAACTGGATTGGAAATGTGCTTTAGTTATTTTATAATATCACCAGTCAGCAATGTATTTAGACAGATGTATTTTATAAAGGGTGTCTGTACAAGGTCACTTGCTCCATGAGCTATTTTAAGCAAACTGCAAGCACTGTGCAAAGAGCTTTTCACAATATAACCTGCAGGTGTAAGCTAACTTTTTTTTTTCACAAGTAAAGATAAGAAGTCCTGCACTATCAAGTCACTCTGTACCAAAAGTAGTGTTCCTTGGTCTCAGGCCTATGCTCTGACACGCATGGGGCTCCCCAGAACCTTTGATGTAATAGTTTCAAAGGAGCTGACTGGTTCCTAATCTCTTTATATTTCTTGAGAGCAATATAATAACCTGCATCAAAGGAACTCAAAACTTTTGTTAGCTTTTTGGTATTTTAGGTGCTTCTACACACCACTCTGTAAAAATGTACAAGGGATGCATGGCATAGATTCAGAAATTATTTGGTGTGTCATTGCTAACACCGTACATTAGGAAATCACTTCAGACATCCCTACATTCAAAATTCCTCTGCACATCACAAAATTCTACAATTATTCCCAGAATTCTTTTACGTATTGTGATATTCATTGATCAGACAAACATCTTAATGGTGATCTAGACAGCAGCAGTGGCTTGCCATCCCTCTCAAAGAGGCTACACACTTACTCCACTGCTTTAGAAGAAGTGTCATCACCATCTGTGGACAACAGGTGCACACTGGAGGAACAGCACAAAGGAGCCAGTTTTAGGCCTATGCCTAAGCTCAGTATTAGCTTGCTCTCTTCTGAGGGACAGGAAAATATTCACACAGAAATAACAATTATACAGCTCTTCAAAATCTGCTTTCAGCAGCGTCTGCTCTTTGACCCAGCTTTTTCAACAGAAACATTTCATCCTTGGTATTTTCAGCACTCCCTTTTGGCCTTTCTGTGGTTCTCCACATGCAGACATTGAAATTCCCTTATGAAGTCTTTATTTCCACTGAACAATCTTGATTATATTATTCACCGGCATACCAACATACGTAGTCATATATTAACTCCTGCTAACTTCTTGAGCTTTGCCTTTTCTGAAATACTCTGAGCCACACAGCTCACATTGATACTCAGCAGTAACCAGAAAAACTCAGCAAGTTCTTAAACAGGCAAACATGAGGTTCTGGGGTTTTTTTTCCTTCTTTTTTTTTTCTCCTAAATCCTGAAGAAAGCCATACTCTCACACTACTTTGGGAAAGTGTGTTGAGGAATTATGGCTTTTAGTGGAAATGCTGCTAGACCTTTGTCAATTATCTCAAAAGATTCAGGTTTCAGTCTACCCATGGAATGGTGAAATATAAACATTTTTCTCTTTGTTACCTGATTCTTGCAAAATCTGAGGAAAGTTCTGGTAACTCTAGAAGACACGAAGACAGTTTAAAACCACCTAACCTTCTAAGGTTAATGCAGTACTTATTATTACTGAAATATTTAATAACTTACAGGTCTTCCCTTTGGTCCTCGTTCTCCTCGTGGTCCTTGTGAGCCTGGAGGTCCCTAAAAAAAAAAAAAAGGATTAAAAATATTAATTACCTTTTAAACTAGATAACAATTAATAAAGTTGTGAAAATATGAAATGCAATGCATATATGAAAATTATTTTTTGTGGGAATTTTTTTTCCCACATTATCATAAAGAAAAAGGTTATGATCACTACCATTCAATATTTCTTCTCAATTGTATGTTGCCTGAAGGGAGCAGGACCAGGATGCAGAGATCTACAAACCGTCTTCACCTCTCATGTGCTCCACAAGTTAACTTAGCAAAGGTTTTCTGAATGCTGGAGGCTCTTCTTGCAGAGATGTAAAGCTCTGAGTCCTTCCTGCAAGTCCAGAACCACTCTCTGCTCAGCTGCAGCTGGGGAGCACACTGCATCTCCTGCTCCTGCTAGATCCCTGCTGAGAAGCTCATCCCCCAGCATCAACCTCACACCCAGGTCCTCAGACATGCCTGTACTACAAGCACACATCCAGTCACTTAGGGCACGGGCTGACCTCAGACTAGCAACCAATCCCATAATCTTGTTGCCTCCTCAAATTTGGTGGCTTTGTAGACAATTCATGCCCAGAAGAGTCCTCCTTCACATCATCCTCACAATACAAAAAAGAAATGGCAGGAAGTAGAAAAAAAAGAGAAAGGAGAAAGAGGAAAAAAAAGAAAGGAGAAGGGAAAAAGGAGAAAGAGAAGATGAAAAGTACTCACAGCTGGACCCGGGCGGCCTCGTATCCCTGAGACCTAGAGAGGGCAACGCAAATCAAAGTTACTACACCACGGTTTGTTTCTCTGTGTCATGATCACCCTACAGAAAATTAGTTATTGGAAAGTGAACAGTAAGAGACAAAATAAAAGTATCAGGCAAATTTTAAGGCTTTTGGGGGTAAATAAATTAAATAATTCCACTGATTATCTCCTTCCAGTTTGGAACCTTCTTTTAAGCAATATGAGCGAAATTTTGGAAGTATCATTGTTATTCTAAAAATATTAAATATATAAATAAATTTACAATAATTTAGTCTCAGTTTATTGATTCTTTGCCTTCACGCTAGAAAGGGGTAATAATTTATTTCACCAATCTCCTCAAGTGTCTGTATACTTTCCAAATACTTATTATCTGCCTTGTTTATCATTATGCCTCCACAAAATTCTAACAATAAAAATAAAGATTATGATAGACCGAAGTTTTTCCCCCAAATGCAGTTGACAGAAATTTCTCATGTTACATATGTGAAACAGGATAATCAATTCCATTCTTTTCATTCCGAGGCTATACATTTTAATTGTATTTCCTTAATTACTGCAATTCTGCCTTAGAGCACTAAAATGTATACTTCTAGCATGTGCTGATAAATTAAGGAAAAAAAAACGGACTTACAGGTGGCACTATTCCAGGTTCTCCTTTTTGCCCCTGTAGGAAACGATACAAAAATATCAGATGGCAGGAAAAAGTGAAGGTACAATTAATAGTACCAGTTTCACCAGTACCATCCCTGTGACTGACAGATGCTAAGACAAGTATACAACTGAGTCTAAATAAAAGTACCTGCAACAGGTAATCCATGCTATTTTTAATGATTAGGGACAATGACTAAATGAAGACAATAAATTAACAGACTTTCTCTAACTGTATAATGTGCTGGCTGAAAGAAGAGTCTAAGTGAAAAATTACCATGATATTTAACTACTAGAAAACATGTGTTCAGTGAATTGGTTCATATGAAATCCAGAGCCCAGAGCACCATACAGATTCCATTTCTTCAACGTATTAAATTTAAATTTACATCATTAAATCAATGGACATAAAACCCCTGCATTTCCATCTGCAGTGTGGGGACAGAATACCAAATGGCATTGCAGAGCTTCAGAGTGAAGGACGTGGCATTTGCCAGTTGACTGTTCTTTGAGCTGGATGTATTGATAATGATTACATTACCTAAAATAACTGAGCTCAGACCTATTGGTGGCAACCACTTTACTAAGAGAGGACTTTCTCAGGATAAAAAGTTTTCTGCCTTGTTTATCAAGTAATAATAAGCTGGTTACAGTCTATTTATTTCCATAAACTACCTCTGCATAGAGAGCTACTCAGTTTTAGTGACTGTATATACTTGATCACTTTAAAATTATTTCAGTTGATTCTTGTAGCTACTTACTATCTTAGAAGCTCATTTATCAGAATGTATTTTAATTTCCTTCTTAACTTTTCTTTGTTTAATTGCATGCTGTGAGAAATGCTGCCCAGAGAGCTGTGGCTCTGTGCAAGAACACATCATCCCAGTGCTACCTACTGCACACTGGGCAGCTAAGTCTCAGCAAAAACAAGCTGCAAGTTTTAATAGTTTGGCTTTTAATGACGTATTAGTGCCATTTTCTGGCACTGCTAGAGATGAAACAATCAAACTGCTCAAACTGGAATTCCTTTGACACAGACAGCAGAGATTTTCAGCCAGGGAATTCTCTATATTAAGAGCAGGACTTTTGCCTGCAACCCAGCATTTTTTCCACACAGACTGCAATCTCACTAGCCACTGAGGAAGACCAAGAGAATAGAATTAAGTATTTTTAACAGAGCTTATATTTAACTTCTGTGAAGCACTCCAAGGAGATGCAAGTGATTCTTTTAACAGTTATGATACATTAAAATTAAATTAAATGAAATCTTACCTTTCTTCCTCTTCCTATTAAAAAAGACAAAAGAAGAAAAGAGAAGAAATTAATGTTTTTAGTCTGAGTCAGAACATAGTGAGAGTTGATTGCAGGTGTTGAAGGCAGAGCTATCCCCAGTCCTGGATGCACAGAAGATGGTGTGTCACCTGCAGGGAGCTAGGGAAGTTCCCAGGGACATGCACACTCCCTTGCTCAGGTGTGAGGGCTCGGAGTGGTTTGCAGTGATGTTCCTTGATTCTCAGCCTTTTTCAGCATGGCACAGAATAATAAAAGGTACCTTAGGAAAGCAGAATATCTTGTGGGGAATTGTCAGAAGCTGGCCTAATAACTGACAGTGAAGCCAAAGCAAACTTTGTTACTAACTTCAATACAAGAAATGTTGATGGATCCACAACATATTACATGTATTTGTCAAAAGATGGAGCTGACTGAGGGATGTTTGACATGTTCTTGTTTGAGAAGCACACACAATACCATGTGCTTGCAGTCAGAGTCATAGAGCCACACTCATATTCACAAAGATCCTTCAGAGGAATATTTGATTAATACCTTGAATAACAGCAAGGAATGCTGGAATGTATCCATACTGCTTTTATATTTGCTGGGTGTACCTTGTTGGCGTTGGCCTAATGCCTCCCAAAATACAGCAGGATACACCATCTATTTATTAACACTTGCCACATCTTGCTCCATTGCTCAGTTACACAAGTCCCTACTGCATGACCTTTATCACTGCTTTGGTCTATATTAAGCTAATCAACAGCAACTAGATCTCCTGAAGAAATTGTTCTAATTGTTGTAGATAGAATGTAGTTCAAATAATTCAATACACAATATTAATGAGCATTAATTGCAAGTTAAGAGATTTTCTTGTAGGAAAATTGAGAGAGGATTGCTTCATCCAGGTCTCTCCAGGAAGGAGAAGAAATGAACTGGAAAAGGCATAATCTTTAAGTTATATAACAGAAAGTATGTAAACAGGGAGTTAACAATTCTTGATGCTAATTTTTTTTCTTATGTGTCACAAAAGGATCACGCGTCCATGCTTCCACTTTGAGGAAACACTTTGCAGTGTTTACTATTTTACTATTTATATATCATGTTTGTATTTATTCATCTATTGGAGGGGCCTGAATTGATTATTTTATTAAAGCATGAACTTATTTTATTATATACATTTATACATTATGTATTTATCTGAATATGTTTATTAGATATAGTCATCTTAATATATTTATCTTGCAGTTCCAGCTGAACCACAAAATGAAGCCAGAATGCAACCTCCTTGAAACACCAAGATTGAATTCAGATTAGATTAGTAGTTAGAAGAAAACTGTTTCCAGAGCCAGCTCAGGTGCAACCCAAGATGGAAGAGAACTGCCAAGTAAATCTGTTTTCAGATTTAAACTTTCACCATGGAAATAGTACCAGAAATTTCAATATCATAAGGTTCCTAGTTCTTTGAGCTCTCTCCTTTCAGGTAGGCAAACTGGAAAGCAGTCTTACCAATGGTGGTGTCAAAATCACGTGTCGTGTGGGGACACACAGGACAGCACTCTCCTGGGGGCACCTGGGGGTTCTCACACTCCAGCATATCTTGACACTGAATTTCATCACAAAGAATAGCTCCATTGTCACAGACACAAATCTGGCACGGTGAGGGCTTCCAAATATCCCTGTTCAGGTACATCTGGCCATTCTGCGTGCAGGCTATTTCTTCAACATCTCCTGAGACAAGAGAGAAAATATACAATACATTTTACAAATGTGAAATAAAGGAGGACTAGGTCTGGAGAAGGAAAGAGCACATGTGGAGATAGGAAATAGCATTACATACTTGAAGAAAACAGTCCATCAGCAGAGCTGAAGTTGATATTAAGGAATTTAAAATATCAGTCATCTTAAATGTATTTCTTATTTTACCACCTTATTTCTTCCTCAGAAAGAAGTAAAACAGTCATCATGGAGTGCACAAATCCACCACAGTGAACCAAACCACACATGGACAAACGACCATGGCCTCACGAGTCTCTGGGTGTCATTCTGCTCAGCAGGGTACTAACTCTGCACTGAGAAACTCCTGCCACACGCCTCCTCTTTGGAGAAGGTTGTGCACAGGGTGTTAGAGATGTCTTGACTGAGGAGCAGAACCTGTGACACTTCTGTAGGAAGAGGTACACACTGCCTGCTCCCCACTGCAGGTGCCTTGCCCAGCCAGGCTTAGCACAGTGTTGAACAGACATGGCACTGTTTGTTGAAAAGAATAAAACTCATTTACTGGAGTCTTGGTGGAGGAGAATATCAACATGGAGAATCAAATCTTCCAAACAGGACAGCCAGTCACTGTCCAGTGGCAACAGCAGGCTCCATCACAAGGGTATTTGCAGCAGAGTCTCCAGCTGAGTGAACAGAGGTTCCTCAGACTATTTTTGCTCAGATTTTATAATCCAGTTGATCATGGCCATACATAATTACCCCAGAACGTGCACAAATGATTGCCACAGATGTATATTAATTACATACAGAATATCTCCTAAATATTGTAACTATATCAGAAATACCATCCTGTGTAGCCACATGTGTAGGAACAGCACTGACTGCCTAGATGCATATGTCCTGTCAAGCTACATATTCACACATTTGTATGGAGGTCCATCTATTTTACTGAAGTTGCATATATCATTTTCAATATAATCCACTCCATTTATAGAAGGTTTACTTTCTTTCTTTCAATTCCAATTTAGAATTAATTTCTTACTAATTATTTAGAAATCCATTCAATACAGTTTTTTTCTCTCTCCTTTCCAACCAATCTACTGTCAACAGGGTGGAACAACTTCTCTGGATTTAATTTATCAATTGGAAATTTCAGAAATTTTCCCGTTTGGCTGGTGGTAACATTAAGGGGACATAGCTATCTGTTTAGGTACTGTTCTAGCCATACATAAGTCTATGCCTTTATTTTCTTCCTATTCTGTAGGCAAATACCCCAAATATTTGGATTATTTTTTAATCATAAGGTGAGTATATCTCAGTATCTCACTCTAAAAATGAAATATACCTAACAAAGAATTAAAAAGTCAAGTAAAGTGAAAATTTTTCTTTGTCTATCCAACAATTTACAGAATGTCCTATGAGGGAAAAAACAAATAATCACTTTGGCCTAATGAATATTTCATCCTCTAAAGGAATGCAAGCACCCATAAAAGCAATGAATTGTCTCCAGGCTGTTCCTAGACATTGGGTCACAAACCTGGAAACCAAGAACACCAGTGGCAAAACACCCTCCTCTGAGTCATACACAGCAAAGCTGTCACACACAGTCCAAAATGATTCCTCTGACCTCTGGGATGCTGTGGAGAAGATTAATCTGACTTGGGTGGGAGATACTTCTGACCATAGAAACCTTCCTAGCAAAAACATCTTTAAAAGTGGACAATACAGCTGTATTTTCTAACTTACACTGGTAATGAGAACCAGGGCAGATATATATCTATATATCTCTCTCTATATATATATAGAGAGAGAGAGAGATAGATAGATATGGATGACACATCCCACTAGTCAAAGATCACAACTCTTATTTTTTTTCAGAAAACCTGTTATTGTGTAAAAATTAACAGCTGTGAGCACAAGGACAGTTTCACTGCTCTATGCATTTCTGTCCTAATTTAAACCAGATGTAAACAGAAAATCACAAAGTAATAAATATGAACAGATTTGGAATTTCAGCTTCATGCCTTAACTCATCGAGTTACTCCACCAGCGTCAAAGCTGGGAGACACGGAGCAGATGTGTCATTAACTGTTGCCTGCCATCACTAACTTCTGCAGCTTTCTAACAGAAACAGAAATCCAAATTTATACCAGGTCAGCTCCTCTCTTCAACTGGTTTATCACACCAGCTGACAAAATTACTCAAAGGGGTGCTGCAGAAGCTCAGGAGGAAATGTTTTCGGTGTGAAGTAAAGACATCAACCAAGCGAACTGTACAGTCCATTTATGACACTGTGAGAATCATTTTCCAGAGTGCAGATCGTATTTTGGAAAGCACTCCTCTCGCTTCTCCCTGGTGTGCATGACACAACGTGCTGTCTGACACATTTAGCCTTTTCCCCCCAGATGTCTGGCATATGGTCTGTGTCTTCCTCAGTGTATCCCTCACAGAACTCGTTGTGCCGTTCAGAAGAGCAGCAGTTTGCATAAATGAAATTTCTGAGTTGCTGAGCCCAAAGTCAGCATTCTGTCACAACTTCAAATAAACCACATGGCAACTGCTTTGGCAAATCAGCGCCGAGCCAGATGGTGACTGGCTGGTGCCTGGGTCCTGCTCAGAAGCTCAGAAAGAAGCAGATGAAGACTGGGTGGGGGGAAAGTACATACCAACTTCTGGAAGGGTACTAAGAAGTCTGTTTTCCTATCAGATTGCAGATACACTGATAATTTAAAAACAAGGAAAAAAAAAAAAAAAGGCCCACCCTGCGACACTGCCAGAAAACACATTTTTAAATATTTGGATTACACTTGGTGCTTCTAGTTTCCCTTTCTGCCGGGACTGCATTGTGCTGAGAGAGCAACGTGGACAGAGCAGCTATTTTGAAGCCGACTCGTCCCACAAGCACATTTTGACATTTCAGTCCCAGGCCTGAGCTGCAGGCATGTTGCCCAGCTACACCCAGACCAGGAAAGGCAACAAAGGAAATTGTTCTACCATTTCCTGCCGGGTTTGGAAATCGGTAAAGTTTTTTTTTTTAATTACAGAGATCAATTCACAAACTCTTACGTCATATGTTCTTTCTACTGCTGCAGTCCTAACAAGAGAGAAGCAGCCTGAGAATGGCTTGAGAAGCAGCTTTAGAAATTCCTAACGTGGCAAGAGGATCTGCTAGCCCATTAACCATTTCTTTTCTTACCACCAAAAAGTACAACTCTAATTGGCATTGGACCTGCCTAGAGAATCCACAGGGCTGCAAATCCATTGAAGTCAGTGCAAAATGAGTTTCAAAGCAGTCCCCAAATATAAAATGCAAGGTAGAAGATTATATATTTAAGGAATTCATGAGCTTGCACAACCTCTGAGAAAGAGTATTTCCATGAAGAGTGCACTAAGTACAATGCCGTTATTTTTCTACTCCATATTGATCTGTTGGAGTATCAGTTTGCCTTTAAAGAACTAATTGATCAGGAGTCAAACAGTCAGCTATAACTACTCTACTAAATCATCATAATTGGACACTACGCATCAACAGTTTGGAAGTAAAAATCTCACTGTGCTCTGATATCCCCAGGCCAGTTTTGTGAAAACGTTAAAATTGTGAATACGGGGGGTGGCAAGGGGTAATCCCATCCCAGCCCAGCCACTAGATGGCTGTCAAAACCCACCCGTCATCACGACTAAGTGCCAAAGAAGTTTATGCACAATTAAGGCGTGCAAGGCACACCCTGCTTTGGGCTTTTTATGCTGAGCTTGTTTTCCTTTCCAGCAAACTTCCCTCAAGGTTAATTCCACTCCTCAAGAGGCCAACAACAGTGTTTTAAAGTGTTTTAAAAGACAGCATTTGAAATAATTTCACTCTTGCACCACCAGATATACATTATTTTGAAAGTAACACCTGGAAATTCACTGCTGAGTGGTTTGCTGCTTAAAGCTGCTCCTCATTATGGTGCTCTTACTGCCTTCATCGACTTCTGGTTTGCATCTTCCACGTGAAGGAAAGTAAGGCCTGGGCATGGAACCAGGTAGAACAAAAAGAAAGAAAGAAGGAAAATAACACCATAGAAAGAGAAGTGGGTGAGAGGGGGCTTGACAGTGTCTTGAGAAAAAATATTTAAAAGAAAAGGATAAGAAGGGGGAGAAAAAGATTACTCCATACATACAAACAGGGAGGCTTGCTGAAGCTGTCATCCTAAGGTCTTATTTTTCCTTGAAAAAGTGTCCCCAAAGCCCCACACTATACTCTCCTGTTCCTTGTCTCTGCTTATAGACAACCTAACATGGAAGCAGCCACCCAGCATTACTTCAGCTGTGGAGACAGCAGGTATATGGTGGGAGGGAGCACATCTCTCGGTGCTCTACTTAGGGAAAAAAGTGGCCTGAGCAAAGCTAGCAGATGCATAGCTTTTCTGCAGACATGAACAACTTTGCTTGATAGATTAAATGGCAAGGGAAATTATTTGACAGCCAAGCATCTCCATTTCATTGCATTTTGACTAGATTGTGCAGGTAGCTTCTCATGCTGACTTTTGTCAGCCTGATGCTAGTTTGTGAAACGTATAAGGAAATATAATATTACATAGCTACAGTGGATTTTAAGTTTAAAAACAATCCCTAGAATATGAAAAGATGAGTTTCAAGTAATGAATTACAAAATTTAATCCTGCTGACTCACAAAGCAGAGGTGCAGAAGTAAATCAAAGTGAAAGATGATACGTGCTCACAACCATTTTGCAGATGTACTGTTGTGCATGTGTACAGACTGCCAAGTGAGGGACAAGAAGAGCTTGGTGTTAATAATCCTTGATTGTCAGCCTGTTGCAACAATAATGTAGGGCTTGATCCAGTTCCCATTAAATCAATGGAAAAAAAAACCTCTCGTTTGCTCCAATAAGAATCAGTCTGCCTCTTTTGTTTATCTTTTCATAACTTTTTTTTGAGCGATGATAAAGTCTTATCCAAATTACCATGTCATGCAAATTATAATATAAACACCAATTATTCTGAAAGTAAGACACTTTTCAGGAGTGCTGATAAATACAAAACCTCTTTTGCGTTTGTTGCACAGAAACAATTCTTGTTAATAATGATTAACACACACAGTTTATGTAAGTTTATGTAACTTTACATTACATACAAGAGCATGAACCAGGAACCCCTTATGAACAAAAGAGTGAACTGATTTGTAATTCACTTAATATGAAACATTTTACTGTCAACATGAAATCAAATTTGCATTCAGATATTTCCATTCAGGATAAATCATACATCTCAGTGAACTTCCGATAACAGCTGCAGTACAACAATGTGCTTAAATCTAAATAACTCGGCATTCTCTTGGAAACAC